GCTGAAGAGTCATAAACATGTCTATATAAAACCTAATTTGTAAAGAGCAAATGGCACTTACTTACAAGGAGATGAAGGCACTGATGAGCATGAAGTAATCTTGAACCAATCAAATGTGAAGTGTGTCACAATTAGCCAGGTCCCGTTAGCACAGGAGCCTGGCTTACCCCACTAGTAACCAAGCATTACTAGTCCTCTTGGCTGTCTGTGAGTACACAGAGCTGGTGTGGATCATGGCATGTGCCCCATAAGATGACCCCAATGGGACATAAATGGCAGCTGAGGCAGAGAGAGAGATGAAGGTAATGCATGCCTTCCATCCCTTCCTCCTGTTAATCCAGACCAGTTGCTGTCAGGGATTCTGACTCATGGCAACCCCATGTGTGTTACAGTAGAACTGTGCTCTATAAGGTTTCTGATTTTTCAGAAGTAAATGACCTGGCCTTTCTTCCAAGATACCTTTGGGTGGACTCAAACCTTTCGATTAGTAGCTGAGCATGTTAAGCATTCCTACCACTCAGTGACTCCTTTCCCTGTTAGCTCACATTTATTTTCATTTGCAGAAGAACGGTAAATGTGAGTGTGTTCAGCTGAGCCTGATTTTATCAGTCATCTCTGCCCTATAACATCCTCAAACTCTATTGTAACCCCAGCCTGACACTCAAATATAGTAAGTGCAGACAGTTGACACATCTATTATAAAGAAAGTGTTGACTCAACCCAGCATGGACCCACCATCAAGAGTAAAATGTCTCCAAAGATGAGATTGGTCATTTCAAGTCATTAGCAATTGATGTGGGACTTGAATCTGAGTTGATCCTTCTCAAAAGAGAACTTCTTTTTTTTGTTCATATCTCATATTCCCTCACCCCTCCACTCGCAAGCACTCAAACATGCAAACACTTACCTACAAACATTACTAATATATGTTCAAAGAATCTGATTTCTCAGCAGATAGGATGTATCCAGGGACCTTTCTCTAAATGTGATGGAGATATTGTTATAAAAATAAGAAAAGTCCATCCTCACGCCTCAGTTTTATTGGAACAAACATAATCTCTGAGGTTCAGGCAGTAGGATCTGAGATGAATGATGAATCTCATTTCACTGCATGTCATGGGTGAAAAATAGGTATCAGGTTAACATGCATGAGAAACAAGCAGTGAACATGGGTTTCTGGTAGAATTTCCAAAGGACATCTCATTCATTAGTCATTCCAAATTTCCCAATGACCAACATTGAACATGACCATAGTAGTTTTTGACTATCTACAAATCCTAGATCCAGAGATTTGTGTTATAATGCCTGAATCCATAGTCTTTTACATGAAGTAGCATTTGTTTCCCTTCTTTTTAAAATCTAGATTATAGTGATTTATATGCCATGGAAGTTAGGAAGGAAAACACCATTCAGTGTTTGATTTCAAAGAACTTTATAAATTACAGCAAATCAGGTTTTAAAACTCTTGCTGAGACGTTACGTGATCTTTTTCTTTTTTTCCCCTTGTGTATTTCTGGTAAAGGAGCTCTGGTGGCCTAGTGGGCAAGGCATTCAACTGCTAACCCCAAGGTTGGTGGTTCAAACCCTCCAGCTGCTCTATGGAAAAAACAAAACAAAAAACCCTTGGAAACCCAATGGAGGTCGCTGTGAGTTGGAATTGACTTGATGGCAGTGGGTTATGTTCCTGGTAAGACTATGTTCCAGTTTTGTTAAGATACTCATGATAAGGCCAGGAAATTATTATGGAATAATTTATAACAATTCACAAAACATTAATAATGCTTTGCACTAGTGTTATACCTCCATCTCAAATATTTGAAGTTATTTTACTAGCTGGCGTTTATTTTGAGATAGAAATTTAGAGGTCAATTTGCACATTGTATTCATCTTGTATTCTTCTCTCTTGAATAGTTTAAAGTTTTCCTTGTGTTCAAACCTTGTTCAAACAAGTTTCTAAACCCTTTCTGCCTATTTCTTATCTCTTAGTATCTTCTTAACTGGAGTTCTGTATGAAATGATGTGAGAGAGTAGAGATGATTATATGATTATATAGGTTCCTGTACCCCACGTTGTGTCTGGAAAAGACATTATATACATAAATGACTCTTTTTTTTTTTTCTTCAGCCTAACAAAATAAGCCTAGGGCTTCCACCAGGCAATTTAAAAATACATAATCCTTGTGCATTGCCAGTTTGTAAACCTTTGTTGAAAAAGTAAGTTTGTGATGGTTGCACAGCATGATAAATGTAATTAGCATCACTGAATTATACACTTAAAAATGGTTAAAAGGTAAAATTTTTGTTGTATATTTCACCACAGTAAAATTACGTTTTAAATAAACAAGGCAAATTTCATTTCTCCACTTTGTTTTGCCTAAGTACATTTATGAGAACATGTTCATATAAGAATAGTTCTGCATGTGATTCTTAAAGACTCAATTTCATCCCTTTTGCTAAAATGAGGAAAGAGTTGGTTATTTAGAAACTGAGTACCTGTTCTCCATATATTTGGTGAAACATGGTAAATGACTTAACAAAGATTTGTGACTTTGTAGAGTAGTCATTCCTTTATTTTTCTTTGCTTGCTGTAGTTTAGTATTAAATAAATGTAATCTTGCTTCTCTTCCCCACAGTATCTTTCTTTGTACCATATTGTCACTGTCATTTACATCCCCACTGTCTGCCTTTCCAGCTAGCATCCAGACCCTTCCTTGCTGATCAGTCTATTACTCTGGGAACTCTGACGGTAGCACTTAAAATATATAACAGTTCCCTTTCCTACATTAAAAAGCCGTAAAACCTTCATCTGGAATAGCTAAGGGAACATATATAGTAGGAGGAGAGGATTTTGCTCCGGCAGGCACTTTGCAAAGGGGACTATTTTTCTTATATGATATAAATGAAATCTTCACTCTGCCCACTTTTACACCTACGCATGTACTGAGCGTCTCCAAGGAGACAAGGAAACCCGGAGTCCAGTGATGGTGAATCCTCCACTGAGACAGCAGGCTGGAGTCTCAGGCAACTCTCCCAGGCGTCTTGGCTTCCAGATGCCCCTCTCAGCCAGCCCCTTTTCTCGAGGCTCTTCCAGGCAGGCTCTCTCGAACATGTCTCTCCCTTCACAGACGAAATAGACTGTGCATTACATCTGAAGGGCTGGTTGTGGTGAGTTCAGTAGGCAGAAGGCCTCCCTGGGAGAAGAGGAGTGGGTGGGGTAGGGAGGTGTGATAGGAGGGTTCCATCTTTCCCGAGATCTTTTCTTTGTTCCCCATGTATCTGTGCTTCTGTTCATTGCCTTCCTTTGTGCTTCTTAAACACAAAGGCACTCCTCAACGTAACCAAGTGTCTTAAAAATATTTGTTGCTACAATAGTACAGTTAGGAGCCTGGTTTCACAAACTTGTCCTTTTAGTAAAAGTGCTCCAGTTGCCAATTCAACGTTTTTAGGTCTCCACTCATAAACAAAAATCTTCTTGAGCACTCTGTTTTCCCTTTCTCCCAAGTTCAATGCACAGCACCCCCAGGTCATCTTTTCTCTCCTCCGCTGCACCACTGTCACTGTTACGTTTTCTTGCAACTCTGTGCATTTTATTTTTCCTTACATATATGAACTTACTGTTTCTTTTTGAAGAATAGACAACCATCAGAAGTCCATTATGGGTGCTTTCTAAGACAACAGTGTTAGATTTTTTTGTGTGTGCATCTTTGATTAAGGCACACGTAATAAGCTACCATATAGAAATTGGTATTGATGTTACCTCCCAAGAAATCTCAGTTTGCTTCTGGACTCTAAACACATCATTTAATGAGCATTCTTGACACCTCTTTCATGCGTACATCCTTGGTTGTTAAGTGAGTGAACGCAAGGCTAACTTTTCCTGTGATTTTTCTACAGAAAAATTCATTATTCTGTTGCTAATCCTGTTGCCCTCTTTGGTAAGGTGTTGCCAGCCACTATTTTTGGTAATTTCTTTGATAGTGAAAGTCCTCATAAGGGATTATTGACGGCTTTCAGAAAGATGTATCATTCATCCATTCTTCACTTTGGAGGACTCTCGTGTTTTCCTTTTGCTTTATCTCCAATTCATACCACCTTTCTAGGAGCTCTGGTGGCGCGGTGCCTAAGGTATTTGACTGCTAACCAGAAGGGTGGTGGTGCAAACCCACCAGCCACTCCTCAGAAAGAAGATTGAGCAATCTACTTCTGTAGTGATAATACTGTCTCGAAAATCCAAGGAAGGGTCGCTACGAGTTGGATCCAACTCAACGGCAGTGAGTTTGGTATTGTTTTTTTTTTTTTTTTTGTCCCAGTTTCTACCTTTAAATAAAAACAAATCCATGTTATAAATTTGAAAGAATCATTTGTAGTAGACATGAACATTTTGCCATGTTTTGTTCAAAGTTTCATCACATGGTCTTTAAGATGACCAGAGATCAAATCTGCTAACTTTTTCTGTTACAGAGTTCCATCGGTATCATCCAAGGGATGTCTCGTCTGTTTTGCTCTTTCTTCCCAAATAATCTTCTCCATAGTGAAATACTTTTCCTGTGGCCACCTCTTAGCTGTTCCTCTTTGTTTAGACTCAGATGGAATGAAAATGTTACTTTCAAGTTGAGCTCCCCAATTTCTCCCGGAAGAATTGGGAGGAGCTTCTGTCTTTGCCCAGGTTTCCCTGGCCTCTCTCTACCATCTTTCTTCAAAGTCCCGGTCATTCACACTCTTAAATTTTGCATCAGATTTTTGATAGAAAGAAGTATCTACTTAGACGAGTTGCTGTGCCCAAAGCACTATGGATGAAGTCGGCCAAATCTAAGAAGATGTAAACAAACTCTGGAGAGTTGTCCAACTTAGACCAGTGGGAAGTTTTGTTTGCTTTTATTTGCCTAGAATTGGGAAAGTCAGGATCCAATCCTGAAGTGTACATCCTGGAATCCTTTTTGTGAATGAGGCCCTCGGGCCTGTGCAGTAATGCAAATGTGGTTCTTCTCTTCTTCCTTCCAGGCTCTTCAGGTGGCAAGGCAGCTTCTTCTTCAGCAGCAGCAGCAGCAGCAACAACAACAACAACAACAACAACAAGTTAGTGGATTAAAATCCCCCAAGAGGAATGACAAACAACCAGCCCTTCAGGTACCAATTTTTCTTCTTCTTCTTCTTTTTGTTTTTTTTTCAATGACATCTTACAGTTTGGGGTAGCTGGTAAGTAATTCAGAACTGGATTGATAAGGATTGAAAAGCAGACATGAGACTTTTCTGCAGAAGGTGTACTTTTAGTTTACCAAGAGAGCATGACATTTTGGAAAAATAGTTATTCAATCAAGCATTTTGTGGTTGGGAGTAAGAAGATTTACTAATTGGTCAATATTATATGAGGATGAGTGGTTGCAGGTATTGGGTTACTTAAGAGGCGCTGTAGGTTATCAGTGAGAAAAAGTTTGTAGTACTCATATGTCACCTCATTCTCTTATGATAAGTGTAAAAACAGAATACGCACACACTTTGCTTTAGTGCAGTTGTTCTCAACTCGAGGCAATTCCATTCTCCAGGGGACATATGAAAATGTCTAGAGACATTTTTGGTCATCACTCTAGGAGCAGAAGGTACCACTGACATCTAATAAGTAGAAACCAGGAATGCTGTTAAATACCCTATGTTGTTGTTGTTATTTGCCGTCGAGTCGCCCCCAACTCATAGCGACTCCTCCTTGGGTTTCCGAGGCAGTATCACTATGGAAGTAGGATTGCCCAACCTTCCTTCCGAGGAGTGGCTATAGTACATATTATTAATAGTAAGATATATCAAGAGGAAAAAAAAAAAAAAAAAAGGACAGTCATCAGTGTGGTTGGTCGTAACTCAAATATGTTGAGTCGCCCCCAACTCATAGCGACCCCTCCTTGGGTTTCCGAGGCAGTATCACTACGGAAGTAGGATTGCCCAACCTTCCTTCCGAGGAGTGGCTATAGTACACGGTAAAACCTCCCCACCAAAAATTATCCAGCCTAAAATGAGAATTGAAATTGAGAAATCCTGCTTTATTGGAACTGAGGAGGCTGTGGTACATGGATTATCTTACCTAGTGATAAGTATAAAGAGCTCTGGTGGTATAGTGTCTAAGGCATTTGACTGCTAACCAGAAGGCTAGCAATTCAAACCCATCAGCCACTCCATGGAAGGAAAACTGGGCAATCTACTTCTGTAAACATTTATCACCTGGGAAAGCCAAAGTGGGTTGCTGTGAGTTGGAAACAAGTCAATGGCAGTGAGTTTGGGTTTTTTGTTTTTCTTTTTTTGAGTGACAAGAATAATCAATCACCTGTTTTTCAGTGGAAGTTTTCAGAATGTTTTTGAACCATTTGTGTGAAATAAGAACACTTTTATGTAAAGATACCAAGAAAAAATAGTTTTCGTGACTTCTCATTTCAGGTATATTGAGGGTGGGGTGTAATGGAGTAGAATAAAGAGTGAGTTCATAAAAATTTAATTTAGATTTTCTATTTCGAGCCCAAAGTTGTGATAGAAATTTTGAAGAAATTTGACATAGGGTTTCCTGCCTACATCCAAGGTAGGACACATGCAGGTGTTAAGTGGCTCCATTGCTTTTATTGGTGAGGTTGGGCATCCCCAAAATGGAAGCCAAGATGAGTTTCTCACACTAGAAATTTTGTGACTGAATGGATAAATGGTAATTGATGGGTATAACTTGATGCCAGTTAATTTGATCGTAAGGTCAACTCAACTTCTAACTTGCATTGACTTATCACAGGTCAGGGTGAACCAATACCAGTTTCCAAATTACCCTGCAAAGAGAAAACTGACCTTGGGCACCAGATTCTAGTCCCTTTACATCCACTTGGGAAATTGTCACTCTCCAGCAAACGTTTAGCACAACACTGACACTTTATTGGAACAGTTGGATGACAATGTGCATTGTTTACTAACACTTCCAAAAACAGTTATTTGGCAAACTATCCTCAAGTCCATATGCCTTTTAATGTGTTTGAATGCCGGGGACATTTTTAATGAGGTACAGTGCCATGGAGGTCCGGTGTCAGGTGCTGTGAGAAGTGCTTTGTTGTGCAGATGTCTTAAGAACAGCTCTGGAGGATGAAATATGACTGTGTTGACCTTTCAGCTGTGAGCTTATTTGTCAGGATTCAAATAAGTTGAAGGGATCAAACTGAACAGTTTCCGTAGTCAGACTGGGAATTGTGTTTCAGAGGTCAGCAGCAGAGGCCACATTGCAGATTCCATAACATAGCCAATTGTTGGTACATATTAAAGTGCCGGGGCATCTCCTGCAGACAGAGACACAATTAAAATTCTAATTTATTAATGTATACAGGGAGCTAGCCCAGCCTGTCACTCAGGGATTCAAATGACTGCCCATTCTTTTTGCCTCACTCCTGAAGCTCTCCAACCTTAAAAATACTGTGAGTCCCCTTGAATTTAACAGACCTCAAGTGCGTTGGAAAAATGGCAGTGTATTATTAGGGGGAAAATCTTACACATAGCAGAGCTTTAGTTGGAGATAGTAGAAAAAATTACACACATAACTCAATCTGTCTGATCACACTGCTGTTCAGTATTGAATATCATTTGTGATTTTTTTTTTTTAAATAGTAGACTTATTTTCACTCATACTTGCTTTTTAAAACATATGGCATTTTTAGGTAACTTCTTTTCCAAGATGAATGAAGTCCCTTTAGGGCTAAATATATGAAGTAAAGTTTCAGGGGATTTCCTTTTGAGGGCTGTTTTTCTTACTGCCCGTTATAAGGGTTTTTAGCCACAACACAGAAGGGTATGAGATAGAGGCCTTCATTTTTTACTTGGCAAGGACTGCATCAAAACCAACCTAACATGTTCTGCTCAGCACTTCAGTTTGGATAAAAAGTGGGAGAAGAAGGGACAATCTTGAATGCTGGTTTTATTAAAGAAGATGTCTTGAGTCCCTTCCCACCCCTTAAGCGGAGGAGTTGACAAGCAGAGAATTGAGACCCACTTTAAGGGTTGGTTGGGGGTGGGAGGGAGGGAGAATTGGTTGACTTTGTGTGTGTGTGTGTGTGTGTGTGTGAGAGAGAGAGAGAGAGAGAGTGAGGGAGAGGGAGAGACTGAGAGACTCTTGCTGAATGTCTCCACACTGTCAGGTAGGGTCATGTGAATTTAGTAAGCTTTATTAGGTTGGCTGGCCTTCCACAAACAGAGAGGGGAAATTATTAATAAGCGGCAACATGGTGTATTACCTCGTTATAAAGATACACATATAGACTTAGTGATTCATTGAGGGAATAACCTTCATATTTAAATATATGTTGCCATGTCCTCACTGGGACATCTCAGGCAAAGTAGCTCTAAAATAGAAGGGAAATCCTACAGCAAATCTTAATGGTGTTCATTTGTGATCTTCTCACCCTTCATCACTACAGTGAGAGACCTGTTTTAGCAAATTTCAGATCCTTCCGTGTAGAAGAATGCTTGACAGGGAAGAAGGATTTGATCTGCTCATAGCTTGAGTTAAAAAAAAAAAAAGAAAAGAAACCCAAATCCCCAAATATACTGTGACTCATATTTTAAGCATATCTCACACTTCCCTGCTTTATGTTTGGCAGCACTATCCAGTTTCACAGGCTGATGATACAAACAAAAGAAAATGGAAAGTTAGAGGAGGCTATAAGTGGTTACACGATAGAGATCAGAAAATGTAGTCAAACATCCCCAATTTGGACTAATTTCAGGGAGATGAGCGTAAATAAGGGAGAAATGCCATTCTTTGCAGATACACAAACTAAACCAAATCTGAACTGGTTGGAGCGTTGGGTGAGGTTGTGGTTTTTAATGAAGACTCAGTTTTAATTGGAACTCAGTAGTGCTTCTGAAGTTCTCCAAAAAGATTCCACTTAGTATCTGAAATTGCCCCCTTTTTTGGCCCATTAATTTACTTTGCATGTTTTTATGAATGATACAAAAATAAAGGAAAATGGCTCCCCACTGTAAATTCCAAATGACTGTGATCTGAATTAATCAAATTCAACTTGGTACCTATTATAAAACAGCTGTAACATGCAGTGCGTTGTGCTGGTACCCATAAGACACAAAACGGTCAAGAATATAGACCCTGCCTTCAGGATGCTTATGAATTGTAAAATAATTAGTAGGGTTTTGCTGCAAAAAGAAAATTATATGTGAGTAAAAATAGTAGGCTTGCTTTTATAAATATTTATATACTTTTGAAGATTGCTTAAACAAGTAAAATAAATGCTTAACGGTGCAGGTGTGCTCATAACCTTGGAAATGTGTAACTTTACTGAGTAGAGATTAATTTGTGAGTAGATGAGCAATTTTATTGATCAAAATTTGGAACTTTGACCACCATTTCTGGGTAGTAATTCATTTTGGTTCTTTAAGCATTTTAGTTGTTGGCACGAGTACATAAATTGGAAGGAAGTCAAATGACACATTTTCTCCTAAGAAAGTAAAAGTACATGTGTATTCTGGCAGCATGCAAGTTAGGAAAGAAAGTAAAGCTTGTGTGTTGCTTGCAGTGGAAAGCTGACCACAGTCTCAGGCCGTCTAGAAAGAATTTGAACTTGAAGCCAGTCATCTGATAGTTTTCCCTCCTGCCTGTCCCCTTCCTTCCAAGGTTATATCATGTACAAGCACCTCACACAGGAGGCCATTTGACTGCATGGAAGGGTAGGGAAATGAACTGTAAGGTCAGCCTTTTGGTCTAGTTGGAAGCTCAGGATGATAATGAGGACTTCTGCTCTAAGTGGAGAAGGTTAAAATACAAGATTCAGCAGGTGTTTTTTAGCATTTTTATTTGCAGTTATATAAAACGTGCTTTAGGCAGCATTTTTGCTTTGCATTAATGCCACATATAATCTTAGTACCTCGTATCATTTCCACATTATTCACTAAGGAATAAATTGGTAAGAGGAAACCTTTAAAAGGAAACTACAATTTTTTATTGTGGATAGTGAAATGGAATGGTTTTGAAATACTGACCCTTAAAAAACATCCCTATGCACTGAATTAGTAAAGTGGATAGTTCAGGAGATAAAGGCAAACTGTTTCTTTTCAATGTCTAGAGTTAAATGTTGTCTAGAATTGGCATCCCTGGCTTCAAACTA